AAGAAGGACTTCTTTTGTAATTCTAGTTATCTGCTTGTTTCCTCCCCTTTCCTAAATGCACATATGCTGTATATGGTACATTATGTTTTTCTCCTTGTGTTTTAAAAAACACATTTTTCCTTCAATTACCTACTGAAACTCTATAGCATATGGCAGTTTCAAATGCAAATACCTCTAACTTTCAGTTTTAGAGAAAAACAAAACACTGGAAAGAGAAAAAAAAAGTCTTTGTTGAAAATATGACTAACGTAGGAATAATAGTAAAAAAATATTCTTGGTTCCCAAATTTCACAGTTAGATCAAGATTCTTTTACCTGGTAATTAAAAATAGACCTTTACCAGTGAGATTTACAGATAATCCTTGAAATTTTTCAGTTATAACTTTTTCAGCCTCTTTTTCTTACAGACAGACATTCATAAAAACAGCTTTCAAAGATCAATATTTAATCATGTAGCTTCAGAACTTTGCCCTTTGGCTACAAAATGGCTGCAAAGATGTAGCAGTGGGTAAAGAGGAGAGGAACATCTATTAGGTCTGGGTGATATATGCTTTGTGGATTGATGATTGAGAATTGAAATTTGGTTTTACAAGAACATAGAGAAACAGGATACAATATTGAATATGTGCATCCAACGTTCTTAAGGCCCAGATTGATTGTCTTTTGGCACCCTGATATCAACATAAGAAATTGGGATATATTCCAAAACAACCCAATTTTTATGAGTTGTATTTTCATGAATTGTCAAGCATTTCTTGAACTTACATACATTTTCACTGGAACTGTGACATTTCTTGGCATAACAGTTTCCATAAGCATGCCACCTGCTGTGTAATGAAATCTTCCTGAAGTTTGTCTCTTGCTCTTAAAGGCATGTCTCCTAAGGGCTTGGTTCCAGAATTTGGAGGGATAAAGGATTTTTTCCCTCTCTTTACACTTCATGACTTAATGTCCTCTTTCTCTCTACTCTTTTTAATAAAGGAACATTTACTTTTTTATTTTCTTTCTCATGTGTTTCTGTAAGTTGTCAAATGCAGATTCCCTTTAATTAATGAGTTGGAGGTCTCAGAAGAGGTGGTAATCTGGACAGTTTTATAGATTCAGAATCTTACAGTGAGATTTGTTCTTTACCTTGAATCAGACTTTCATTTAGCCAGGTTGCTCAGAAATCCAAGTATATGTGTTTTCAGATTGAAAATAATGCTACCCAGTGATACGGGGAATAGAGTTTTGGTCATAGTTAAGAATTCTCTTGTCCCCTTAGAGATAGTATTGTCAGAGCTGATCAAAGCACATGAAGAAGAGTCAGCGGCCACCCCCTCATACTGTTTAGTTTCCGTCCTACCATTTTAACCATTGTCACAAGAATCCAAGCAACTGTAGCAGACAGGTATCTGTTGTAACCATGCTTTGTTTGTAGCTAGGCCTGTGAGAAAAGAAAACACGAAAAGGTTATAGCTTTAAAGTTATGAACATGATATCATATCAGGTTTTCTCATTCAGGTTAACTTCTTTTTAAAATCTTCTCCTAGTTATGGTAGATCTCTCAATATGACTGAAAGGAGTCTGTTAATCCTCTAACAAAATCCCATTAATATTCTCAGGGATTCCTCGTGACTGATAGGAGTTGCTATTTTTCATGGAAGGTGAATGCTTTCAGGGGCCATTCTGGTATTTCTGTGCTCTAGATAGAGTCCTCCCCACAGCATGGCAGGCAGCAGAGCTAGGCTCCAGCTCCTGTAAGGGATCTGCCTTCATAGGATTAATATTACTTGTGCCCTATGAATAAAGGAATTTGGTGACAAAACATGAGAAACCAAGACATTTAAACATATTACCATTGAGCTTGGTTAAATAACTATTTTTCTGTGCATTATTCTGATATTGTAGTAAGCTGCTCATAAGGTATATACCTGATACCCCATACAAATTGTGTTTAATAATACAGAACTCTGGGATGAGATGCTCAGGATTTGTGCAGCCATGCAAATTGAGTTCAAATCCCATTATTGTCCTATATTCTCTGAGAGATTTTGGCTTAGTTTTTTTCTGAGCTCAACTTTTTCCCTCTGTAAAAAGGGGATAGAAATACTCTCTACCTCACAAAACTGTGGTAGGGATGAAATGAATGAGTAAATGTAAAGCACTTAGCAAGAGCCTGGCATATAATAAGTGTCCAGTAAATCTTAGCATTTATTCTTGCTCAGTTTATTACTTGATTGTTTTTGTGAGATAAGGAAGGGCAAGGAGGGGCTTGTATCTTGTACTATTCAAGTCAGTTACAGACTGTTGTATTCCCAAACAATTGGGTAATGATGACTAGATCATCATTTCTAGGTCCTTCTGTATGGTAGCTATTCAACTTTCAGAAAGGGGCATGTGATGGTGGGGAAAAAAATCAGTTTTTTCACCAGTATTCCCAACCTATGTATAGTTTGTTTTTCAAACAAACAAAAATCCAGACTTATGAATGTCTCCGTTATTTTGAGTTGAAAATGTGGGTATATGGAAACTCTTATGAAATCTATAGAAGGGAAACTCCATTTAATTGTATATTTAATGACTCATCTTTATTGAAAGAAACACAAAAATATGCAACGTGAAGACCATTCCTGGAAATCCTGGGCTGAGAGTAGCCATGACCTACAGTATGAAACTATAGCCTTCCAGAACAGAGAGAAACCTTAGTGAGAGGAAACCAGACTCCATCCTCTCCTTGAGGTTAAATGATATGCTAATTATTTGCACAATTAAAAGCCAGTTTAAAAACCCTTGTCTTGAATTTTTCAGTTGTTTTTCTAATCTTGTATTATGATTGATTCGCTCAGTGCCTATGAAAAAAAATCTCTGACATTAGAGAAAGAGAGAGATATTTGACATTATATGTATTTCCCCCTTGGACTGCAGGATATCCTGAGGTATATACTGTTACTTATATTTTTATTCTTAATTGCATATTGGCAGAAGTAATGCCAATAGGAATTAATTAATGAAGTGAAGTTGGTGTAGGGTTCATCACAGAGTATTATCCCCTGAGTGCTGCATCTGAGTGAGGGGCCTTTTTGCTCAGAGTCCACATGTATAACATGTATAAGCAGTAACTCAAGATGGCAGCTAGTAGGGCAGGAGATTGGAACAGGAGGAGGAGAGATTACTGGCTGGTGCTAAAAAGACAGAGGTGCAAATAGCTATAGTTATCTGTTCTCTGCCTCTTTCCTTCCTCCCAAACACTATCTACTTTGCAGCAAGTTAAAAACTTTATAATGAACTTAACCTGATTTTCAGGTCTTACAGAGGAAGATAATCCAAACTCTGACAAAGAGGTCAATATTTCAGAACCGCTAATATCTGGCAAATCTGGGATTCAGACCTCTGGCTTTCTACTTCTTTTTTTTTTTTTTTTTAAAGATTTTATTTATTTATTTGACAGAGAGACACAGGCAGAGAGGGAACACAAGCAGGGGGAGAGGGAGAAGCAGGCCTCCCACGGAGCAGGGAGCCCGATGTGGGGCTCAATCCCAGGACCCTGGGACCATGACCCGAGCCGAAGGCAGACGCCTAACGACTGAGCCACCCAGGCGCCCCTGGCTTTCTACTTCTAAAGGTTTTATGGCGACATCAACGTTGATGATTAGGGAATGCCAAGAATTACTCATTTTTTTCAGTGAAGAGTGTTTACTACAAATATTTCTTTCTTTAAATGCAGGAAGTAATGTTTAACATAAAAAAACAGACAGCTGGGGGCACCTGGGTGGCTCAGTCGTTAAGCGTCTGCCTTCGGCTCAGGTCATGATCCCAGGGTCCTGGGATCGAGCCCCGCATCGGGCTCCCTGCTCCGTGGGAAGCCTGCTTCTCTCTCTCTCCCACTCCCCCTGCTTGTGTTCCCTCTCTCGCTGTGTCTCTCTCTGTCAAATAAATAAATAAAATCTAAAAAAACACAAAAAACAAAAAACAGCTGTTATTTTTCCAAACTGCATACTCTTCTTGTTCAGAGGGGTATGAAAGCAGGCATCCTGCATCCAGAACCACGGCAAGTTGTCATGGTCATCCTTCCACCTCCTGGTAGATGGGTGTGTGTGTGCCTTGCTAGAAAGTAGAGGAGTATGGCCGGAATTTGGATGGCATTTCGGGCACTAAGAGCTGTCTTTCATTCCTGTAGTGTCATAAAGTAAGGCTGTTCCCTATTTAAGGGAACAGATTCGGAGCTGTTACTTGAAGTCAGTTATCTCCTGTCATAAAGTTCAAATACTGTGTTTTAAAATAAGTCGTTGTGCTGTCCCTGAATTTGCTTAGCCACGTCGTGGATTCATTCTGAAAGGTGCTCTTATCTCCGATCTTTTTCTCAGTGGTGCTTCTAGATTTGGGGAATTTTCTGGGCCAATGACATACTTGATGCTCTGATTTCAAAATTCGTAGTACTGATTTAATAGAAGAACACAGCACGTTTCAGAAAGCAGACGTTTAACTTTAAAAGCTACACTGTAAAGTGCCGACAACAGGATTGTCTTTTGCCCCCACTTTTTCCCTGTCATTCCTATAGTTGGTGCAGCTTGCAGGTCGTTAGTGGTACTTCATTCAAGTTGTGTTTTCAGTGTTCTGCCACGTCAGGTTCCTTACTCATAAAACAAACAAAGAACCCCAAATCTCCTGGGGATAAAAGAAAGCTCTTCCTCTTTAAATAGCAGGCCGAAAATGTAGGCTTTTGTTTTTCTTCGGCTTTCTCGGTGTAATTACTATATTTGTCTGCGGGAGAGAGGACCACTCATTGTGGTTTGTTCTGGACGATCTTGCTTCAAGACACACACAGTTCTGCAGGCTGTGCTCGAGGCACGGAGCGGAGGCCGGGAGCTCTCAGCTGGGTGAGAGAATTGGGCGAGCATGGGGCTACTTCTCTCACTGAATGCCGGCCCCAGAGCCCTTGCCTCTGGCTGGAGGACTGGGAGGTGGAGCCTTTTTGCTCACGGCGAGTCCCCTTCTCCTTTCTCTCTGCCGGCTGTGCATTGGCTCTTGGAGCTCGGGCTGCTGCTGGGAGTGGAATAGGCAGGGCGTGCTCGCAGATCGCGGTGCAAGCTGCAGCTTCTATTTGGGGCACCCGGGGAGAAGAGCACCGGGAAGGAAAGACAGCAGCAGTGCCATGGGTCAGCTCTGCTGTTTTCCTTTCTCAAGAGATGAGGAAAAGATCAGTAAGTGTGATTGTACTGGGCAGGATCCGAAGTGCTTGACTATTTTGTGTGGTTGTCTTCCAGGGGTCGTTTTGGGGTTTTTTTCTTACGGGAAAGATAACAGAAGAATGAGCTGTGATTTTTTTTTCCCTGTGCGTTTCTTTAAAAGGATTGGTAGGTATGTGGTTAATAATTAACTGGGGAAAGTACCGTGACTCAGTAAATAGGCTGTGTTAAAAATACAAAATCCTGAAAACTTATTTTTGATTTTCGTCTGTTGCTAATCCTACAGTTCATTCTTACCACACTATCTAGAGTCAGAGTTTAGTTTTGACTTTCTTTAAATCACTGCATGCAATTTGAGATGTTGTATAAGCCGGACTTCATTTTTCTTCTCTGCAATTGGGATATTTTCAGGGCAGTGCTCGATAATAACATAGAGAGAAGAAAAGCTGGCTCTAGAATGACGGATATTACACATTTGCAAGTATTTTCACGTGTCCTCTGCTTTGTTCTCCGTGGAGGGGATTCAGGTGTAACTGTTAAGACAGCTCTCCAAACAGGTGATGCCGCTTTGCTTCCCAGCAAAAACCTTACACATATTTTTAAGCCGATGCCAGGCAGATTCAACATCTGCTTATGGTTGGGAAAACAACTTAAACTGATGACACTTGCATTAAATTCTTTTCCTCACTGGATTCTGTGTATTCGCTTACATTTTGACTTTGTTAAATACAGTACTAGCATTTTAACTCTTGTGCTGAATAGAATTTGCCTTACACTAGTTGCCCCCAAATACTGAATTTTTAGTTCCTTTTCCATAAAGTGTTTATAGTCATACTTTCTGAATTTGCAGCCGTATCATCAGGGCTTTATTTAAATAAATTTAAATAGGTCTATAGAATCTCATGATATCTGGTTCAGATACTGAAAGGTCCACATCTGGCTTATATTTCCTGCTGCTGGTTCTTTAGGAAACTAGCCAGGGGCAGGTTTTAAAAGCATTGATACACAGCCATACCTGTTCACTTGGGAAATAAGCCAGCTTTTATAAGAAATCTTCTGGGAGTGCTTTGGAATAAATGTTGGGAGACTTTGGAGCATTGGATTATTAACAAGAGCCAATAACTGTGCTCTAAATTTTACTTGTGAAAATGATAGTGTACAATATATGATGACCCTGAGCTTAAAACCTGAGTGAGTTTACAGCAGAATTGTTCTTTTTTTTTTTTTTTTTGTAACAATGAGCATCAGCATTAGTTTGAGCCTGAAACTTTCTAGGTATTTGTCAGGATGATTTATTTGTAGTTCCCGAGGGTTTTGGTTGATGGAGTCATTGCTTGAACACCATCTGTATCTGAAGAACCGTGGTATGGACAGATGTAGGGGTAGTAATTCTCCCCTTCTCCCTCTTTACCCTTCACCACTTCCTGTTCCACCGCTCCCGGTTTTCCCCCGGAACCCCTGCTTTACTTGTATTCTGCTTCTCTCCTTCCCCGTGTGTAAGCAGTCTTCTTGGTGCTAACAGAAGTCAGGGTTCACCTCATTGAAGAATTTGCTCTTCTCTGTCTTTATCTGGGATCGTAGGGTGCAAAGTCTCATGTTTTATGCACAGTGCTGCTTCATATTAGCTGACAGGGAGTGGTAGAGACTGCCTTTTGGGGTTACTTCCTCAAGTTCCAAAATTTTAAAAAGAATTGAAGGCATTACACTGTGTCTGAAGCAAAGTTCTAGTTCAGAAGTGCAAATGAGGGTTGGAATCAGTGCATTTGCTCCCCTTTCTTCTCCTCCACCCCCACCGGCTGCTGACCTTCCCCTGTGCCCTCACCAGTCTTGCATTTGTCTTTGATTTTGATGTTGCTTCCCTGTTTTTCTCCTCACGATCTGCTCCACACTCCAGCACACATCCCATCAGCTGTTTTCCGATGCTGTGTTTGATTTCTGTGCTACCGGAGGGTCTAAAGAAGAGCTTCTCTGCCAGGCACTGCTTCGCTGCTGGTAATACATGCCTAACAGTACTTACAAAGGGGACTTGAGAAAAAAACGGCAGAGAATTCATTAGCCATGCCCCAAGAAACACGTAAATTAGCACTAACTATAGAAAGCCAGTCCATATGTTGTGTTGATAACGGGTAAAAGCATCCATAGTAGACGTTTGGGGGGCCCAGCCTTCTTCTGATCCTGCTGCTGGATTGTACAGTAACCTCCGGGGTCTTGTTCATCATTGCATCCCCACCTAGCAGCCTTGTTAGCCTGCTCTGAACCACATGCTCAGTGGGGACCTACTAGAGGCAGAGTACAAAAATGCAAATGCCTACACCCTTCAATTCTGCTGTAAAGGATGATGGCTCTGAAATATACCTCCTCAGGGCAGCTCAAATTATGGAGAACTACATGAGGTTTGGGTGAAAGTTTACATTTGTGGATGTCATTCTCAAAACACAGGTGAGTTGGAAAGCCCGTCCTCTACCGTCCTGCAGAGGTACAGACAGGATATCCCCAGCTGGCCAAGTGGTAAGAGTCAAGTGACCCCTTCTCCCCTCCCACTTCTGCTTTATCCTGCTTTGACCCTTGGTGGTGGTGGTAGATGGAAAAGTATTCCCATTTAATTCATTGTTAGTGTTACTATTTTAATCTATCAATAGCGAACAAGATGATTGTTTAATCAACTAGTTGTGCAAGGGGCCTAAGTTTGTGTGAAAAGTTAACTGCCTGCGTAGCCAGAAATCTTGGTAATGGGGTGAATCGTCGAATACAGTAGAACCCATAGTGGTTTATTTTTCAGCTAATGCAGCCCAAAGCAACTACACACCTTTTTGTTTAAATCCCAGCAGTAAGCATTTTCTTAAACTGTATGCTTTGGGGCCACATTAAGTAGAATATAATGATAATAAATGCATGTTTCTTGCAAGATTAATAAATGCATTTATTGCAAGATCAAGCTCTTTCTGTTGCTACACACGAACATACTTAACATGAAACATTACTCTAGATACTGTAGGATTAACAGATGTTGTAGATAACTCTCAATGCAGTATTTTTTGCTGAATTCTTATATAGCACTGTTTTCTTTGCATTACCTAATTTCTCATAGTGAGTTTCCTGAAGGGAATGTCCACGAACAGGAATGTTACTGTACAGGCTTACTGACCATTGTACTTTATCAATCTCATGAAATAGACCTCGGAAAAAAACCTAATAATGAAAGGCAGACACTTCTGTAATGAATTAGAAAACATTCCACTGGCTCTTCCCCTATTGCAAATTTTCCCATTTGGAAGTACATTGCTTTTATGTAGAATGAAATAGATGAATGTCCAAAGATGAACCATACTGTCTCATCAGCTAGTCAGGTTACTGTCACCGGAGGTTGCCAAGCATAGAATGAGAAGCCATTGCTAGGGATGTGTAAGGGTGAACGGAACAGCTAATAAATGGATACCCTGGCAACTTGGTTACTTTCTAGCCCTGATATTCCGTGATGCTGAAAATAAAATCGTATGTATTTCAACAAGACACATATTTTAATTTTACAAGTATGTGTCTTCTTATTGGAGTATAATTGACATACAAATTAATTTCGTGTGTACAGCATAGTGATTTGGACATGGGTCTACTTTGGGAACTGATAACTACAGTAAGTCTAGTTACCATTTGTCCCCAAAGTTAATAGAATATTATTGAATGGATTCCCCATGCTGTAGATTATATTTCCTTGACTTATTTATAGATGGAGTTTGGTACCTCTTGATACCCTTCACCAATTTTGCTTCCCCATCCCTCTGGCAACCACCAGTCTGTTCTCTGTATCTGTGAGTCTGGGTTTTGTTTTGTTGGTTGATTTTAGCTTCCACATGTAAGTGAAATCATGCGGTATTTATCTTACTCTGTGTGGCTTATTTCACATGGCATAATACCCTCAAGGCTTGTCCATGGTGTTGCAAATGGTAATATTTCATTCTTTTTTGAGGCTGAGTAGTGTTCCGTGTGTGTGTGTGTGTGTGTGTGTGTGCGTGCACGCACACACGTGCATTCCACATCTTCTTTATCCATTCATCTATCAACACTTAGGTTGTTTCCAAATCTTGGCTGTTAGAAATAATGCTGCTGTGAACATATGCATGCATGTATTTTATCAAATTCATGTTTTTGTTATTTTGATAGATACCCAGAAGTGGAATTGCTGGATCATATAATGATTCTATTTTTAATTTTTTGAGGAACCTTCATACTGTTTTCCATAGTGGCTACACCACCTTACATTGTGCATGAGGGTTCGTTTTTCTCCATACCCTCACCAACACTTGTTATTTCTTGTCTTTTTGATAATAGCCATTTTGGCAGGTGTGAGGTGATATCTCATTGTGGTTTTGATTTGCATCCCCCTGATGATTAGTGATGTTGAGCATCTTTCAAGTGCTTATTGGCCATTGTATGTCTTCTTTGGAAAAATACCTATTCAGATTCTGTACCCAATTTTAAATCAGATGTTGTTGTTGTTGTTATTGAGTTATATGAGTTCTTTATATATTTTGGATATTAACCCCTATGGGATATATAATTGGCAAATATCTTCTCCCATTCCATAGATTGCCTTTTAATTTTGTTGATGATTTCCCTGTCTGTGCAGAAGCTTTTTTTGTTTTGTTTTGTTTTGTTTAGAGGCTTTTTAAGTTTGGTATAGTCCCATTTGTTTATTTTTGTTTTTGTTGTCCTTGCCTTTGGAGTCAAACCAAAAACCACATCACTAACATTATTATCAAGGAGCTTACCACCTATGTTTTCTTCTAGGCGTTTTATGGCTTTAGGTCTCACATCCAAGTCTAATCCATTTTTTAGTTAATTTTTGTATATGGTGTAAAATAGTGATTCAGTTCCTTTCTTTTGCATGTGGCTGTCCAGTTTCTCAGCACAATTTATTGATGATACTATCCTTTCTGTATTGTATGCTCTTGCCTCCTTTGTCATAAATTAATTGACCACGTATGCATGGGTTTATTTCCACTCAGTTCTGTTCTATTAAATTGTGTGTCTGCTTTTATGGCAAAATCATACTGTTTTGATTACTATAGCTTTGTAGTATAGTTTGAAATCAGGAAGTGTGATACATCTAACTTTGTTCTTTTTTCCCAAGATTGCTTTGGCTATTTGGGGTCTTTTGTGGTCCCATACAATTATTAGAATGATTTGTTCTAGTTTGTGAAAAATGCCGTTGGAATTTTGATAAGGATTGCATTGAATCTGTAAATTGCTTTGGATAGTATGGACATTTTAACAATAATAATTCTTCCAGTCCATGAGTGTGGAATATCTTTACATTTATTTGTGTCATTTTCAGTTTTTTTTTCATCAGTGTCTTATAGTTTTCACTGTGTAGATCTTTTACCTTCTTAGTTAAGTTTATTTTTAGATATTTTTTTGATGGAATTATAAATGAGATTTTTTTCTTGATTTCTCTTTCTGATAGTTTGTTATTAATGTATCGAAAAGCAACAGATTTTTGTATTTTAATTTTGTATACTGTAACTTTATTGAATTCATTTATTAGTTTTAACAGTTTTGGGTAGCCTTTTCTGGGTTTTCTCTATATAATATTGTGCCATCTGTTAAAATAGTGACAGTTTTACTTCTTTCTTAGCAGATTGGATACCATTTATTTCTTCTTTATGTCTTGTCTGATTGCTGTGGCTAGGAATTCCAATACTATGTTGAATAAAAATGGAGAGAGTTGGCATCCTAGTCTTGTTTCTGGTCTTAAAAGCTGTGGGTTTGTCATATATGGCCTTTATTATGTTGAAGTATATTTCCTTTATACCCATTTTCTTGAGTTTTTATCATAAATGGATGTTGAATTTTGTCAAATGCTTTTTCTGCATCTGTTGAGATGATCATATGATTTTTATCTTTCATTTTGTTAATGTCACATTATTTGATGTTGAACCATTCTTGCATCCCTGAAGTAAATCTCACTTAATGTTGGTATATGATCCTTTTAATGGATTGTTGGATTGAGTTTGTTAATACTCTGTTGTGGATGTTTGCATCTATGTTCATCAGAGATATTGGTCTATAATTTTCTGTTTTTATGGTGTCCTTGTCTGGTTTTAGCCTCAAGGTAATGCTGACCTTAAAATGAGTTTGCAAGCATTCCTTGCTCCTCAATTTTTTGGGAAGAATTTGAGAAGAATAGGTATTAAATCTTCTTTGAATGTTTGGTAGAGTTCACCAGTGAAGCCATCCAGCCCTGGACTTTTGTTTGTTGGGAGGTTATAAGTGTGTGTTTTAACAATACATACATATTTTACTTTTATATGTGAAATATTTCTCAGTATAGTTTTTTGTTTGACATGAGTTATGAGGATAGTATTTGTTTCATAAATATGAGCCAGATCTCAAGATAGTTTGTTTCTGATGATTTGGAATTTGGTGATATAACAGTAATACATAAATTGAGATAAAATGTTAATTTCATGTCTGGTGAACACTTATATTTTTGAACCTTAATTACCATGGTGGATATCATTCAGTTGCACTCAGAGAAGTCTATGTTTAGATTTTCTAATTCCCTGGAGGGCTTCCTAGAAATCCTATAGCCTTATCCTTTGCTCCTCTCATTTGTACTTAGATACACCCACTTTGAGGTTATCTTTCATATGTGTGTTCTATCTCCTCACAGATTTCAAACACCACACATGCAGGACCCATGTTCTATACCTCTCTTCACAGCTCTAGAGCCTAGCATAGTGTGTTACCCAGAGGAGGCATGTTCTAAATGTTTGTTAGTGAAGAGAATGAGACACATTTCCTGTTACAAGTACGAGAGAACGGGAGTCAGTCTGACATCAGTCTGTCAGAGGACAAAACTTGGAATGACTCTGGTTAATGCCATAACCTGTAAAGAACTTTGGTTACTGAATGTACCAGAGAAGCATTTTAATTTGTTCTCACTTAGATGCTACAGCATGTGTCCCAGGAAATGTGTGATAGGGAACCTGCCATCAGTGGACAACAGTGTTCATCATCCTTGCTTGCCTGTAGAAATGCTTTGGACACAGGGACACAGCGGTTTACTGTTCTGCTGCTGCCTATTGAAAACCTATAGCCTGTCCCTTGGCATGAAGTTTTTACTATAGAAAGAGCACAGGACTGGGCGTAAGGAGAAGTGGGCGAGAAACTCAGCTCTGCTAGTAACAGCCTGACTCTGGGGAAGTTACCAACCTCTGTGGGCCTCGCTTCCTCATATTTAAGAAGTAGGGCTTGAACTACCGTGATCTTGAAAGTTAGCTTCTCCCCATTTGTCCCCTAGAAGTAAGAGTCTAGGGAATAAATAAGATAGAATGCAGTTCTTTCTTCTTCCTGCTCTTCCTCCCTCCTCTTCTTCTTTTTAACTTACTGCACACTTCCTGTGTGTCAGGTACTATGCCAAGTGGGATCTTTCAGGAAACTGCTTATGAAGAGAAACTATTAGAAAATAGATGCTTCCTAACTGTCCCAGTTAAGAGGGGAAGTGGCTG